GCCGTGCTCCCCGACCAGGCCTTCGCCGCTGGCGAAAGCTCCCTGGAGCATCGGCGAGCCGTCCTGGCGCCGGAGAACCTGGACCAAATTCTGTTCTTGCATCAAAATTTTGACTTTTTAGAATCGATGAGAAACAGTAACGAGACTCGGAACAGAAATCTGCACTAACACGCGGGGAGGCGGGCACGCGGAGCCCTTCCGTGGGTCAGCGGGCGTTTAGTTGACCTGCGGGGTTTCCAGACGCCAGCCCAACAGCCCCACCGCGGCTACCCGACTACGGCAGCAGCCGCCGGCCGGGGACTCCTGCCTACGCGTTTTTGTAATCGCTTTGGCAACATCGGCAGTGAAGAGTGAGCTCAGGAGGAGGTGTGAACGCGCCGCCTTCCAGCACTCGCTTTCTCGTCCACCACGCAGCCTTGCAGGCCCAGCTTTATTCCTCGGGCTCAACGCATCTGCTCTCGGCTCGAGACCTCCGCTCATCCCTACTCACACCAGACCCACCCGGGGCGCAGGCCCGAGAGCCTGGGCCAGGCCTAAAGCCCCAAGCGCGTTCTCAAGCTCTCTGAACTCAGGCCCAGCCCGCGCCCGAGTGTTTTTCACACGTCAACAGCGCCGACTGCGGGCAAGCTGGGAGTTAAGAAGGGGCTCGGACGGCTGCTGAGCTGCCAGCACAACCACAGGCCCGGCGGCGGCCCACGTGGATACAAGACAGGGGTGTGCCAACACAATTAATTCATCCACAAGTACCACGTTACTTGACCACGGCGCACCGTGCAAGAGGAGGGCAGCTCGGAGGACGTGCGGGCTCTGTGGAGCTAACGTCGCCCGGGACAGGCCGGCTTCCCGGGCTGGCCAAACCAAAGGGGCAGGGATAGCGAGGCGTCCCGTCCTCACGTGAAAACACCCACCAGGTACATCAACCGAAACTTGAAATCACCGCTGGATTTTCCTCTGGGGTATGAGCTATAATCGTAGCAACTCTTTACAAAGCAGAGGTCAGCATCTTAACACACGTATATAATTAAGATCGCTCAGTGCTGCAACAACCCACTTTTTTTTTTTTTTTTTTT